AGTGGGAAAAAAAAAAAAAAACAAAAGAAATAAAAATAAAGGATTCATGGCATATTTGGAACAATATAAAGGATATGTTGTTTACTGTTTGATCCTCTTGTGTATAGGCTGAAATTTGAGTGATTAGTTTGTTAGTACTTATTTTTTGTTTCTTTTTAACTTATTTAATTTCTGCTGAAATGAAGCTCTGCAGAGGCTGAACGAAGGCTTCCAGTTCACAAACAACACGGGATTATGCGGAACCGCATTTGCTTCCCTTCAAAACTGCACTCTCTCTAATCAAGACACGACCAAACCCGAACCATCCGGGCCTTACCTGGCCCGTATGCCCTCTAAACAAATTCCCGAGTCGGCGAACATACCAAACCCTCTCAACCGGGCCAAGAAGCCCAAATTAGGGCCCACATCAGTACACTTAATATCCGGCCTAATTATACTTCTCATCCTCACCGGGCTTTTCTCATTTCTATACCACCGCCGTTTGAAGCAAAAAGTCGGGTGCTCATCCGAAACCGGCGTCAATCGGCCGAGCGTAGACAAAAACGTGCATAAGACAAAAGCTAGCCGAAGCTCGTCCCCTCTCGCGGGCCTCGATTGCTCGAGTGGGTGGGATTTGGTGGCCAAAAGGGAAGACCCGAGCACTTTCTCTCAGGAGGTTCTCGAGAGCTATATGTATAACTTGGATGAGGTTGAACGGGCCACGAGCCACTTCTCGGACGTGAACTTGTTGGGAAAGAGCGGATTTTCGGCGGTTTATAAAGGGATTATGAGGGATGGTAGTTTGGTTGCGGTCAAGTGCATCTCGAGGGTCAGTTGCAATAGTGACGAGGACGAGTTTTTTAAGGGTTTGAAGGTTTTGACGTCTTTAAGACACGAGAATCTCGTGAGGTTGAGAGGGTTTTGTTGTTCGAGAGGCAGGGGTGAGTGTTTTCTTTTGTATGAGTTTGTTCCCAATGGAAATTTGTTGCAGTATCTCGACTTGAAGGATGGTAGTAGGAGAAGAGTTGTTCTTGATTGGCCGACTCGGAAGTCTATAATCAGAGGAATAGCACGAGGTACTCTCTCTCTCTCTATTTGATAACTGATAAAGGTTATGTTTGGTAAAAGCTTATAACTTATAGCTCAAAAAACTAGTTTATATGATAAAAGTGATTGATAAAATTAGCTAATAAGCTAGCTGAAATAAAAATTTCAACGATCTTATTTTAAAAGTTACCCAAGCTTATCAAGTAAGCTCGAGCTTTTTAAAAAGGTTCGTCCTACCAAACGAAGCTTATAAGCTAACCAAATAATAAGCTATAAGCTAGTTTATGGTGCTTACCAAACACAGCCAAAAGATAATGGCAATTTAACATTTGAAGTCGATTGTTCTTATAACTAGGTATTGAGTATTTGCATGGGAACAAGCACGGAAAACCCACATTGCTCCACAGGAACATATCGGCTGAGAAGATACTAATCGATCAACAATACAAACCTCACCTTTCGGATTCGGGCATTCACAAGCTGCTGGCAGATGACATTATCTACTCGGCACTCAAGTCGAGTGCTGCCATGGGTTATCTGGCTCCAGAGTACACAAGCACTGGCAAATTCACGGAAAAAAGTGACGTATACGCGTTTGGGATGATCGTATTCCAAATCCTGTCGGGCAAAAGTCGAGTCACGCAGCTAAACTGCCACGCGGCAGAGATTTCGAGATTCCAAGATTTTATCGACTCGAATCTTGGCGGGAAGTTTGAAGAGTCTGAGGCGGCTAGGCTGGGCGAGGTTGCTCTTTCGTGCACGCACGAAAATCCGGATCAGAGACCGGATATCAGGGCATTAATGGGGGAACTGAATGATATCTGTTCAGATTCTTGATGAAGATGTTTGTAATTTCTGCTAGGATAGATGGGCCTGTTGCTAGTTTCTTCTTATTAATGACGGTTATTTATACGAGTCACCTCGACTCGCCTAACGAGGTAATTGTAACTGTAGTATGGACTAATTCTGTTGTGTATGATTATCTTGCTTCTTGATTTTTTTTTTTATTTAGTGTTTTTTTAGAACTTTGGAATCCAAGCTTATCATATGTCGAGGAGGAAGCTTATGGCAACAACAAATGTCTTTAAGGAAAGCTGAAAGCTTCTTCAAGAATTTGATTTTTTCCACAGCACTCAAACTACTTTCTCTCATATCTCAAAAAATCAACCTAACATCAAGCAGCTACACTTTGAAAGGATATAAAACTGTTATTTTGTAATATATCCTTATTTCTGATATAATTTTAACAATAAAGTTGTAATCATATTTAATAATAACAAAATAAATAGGATAGTTATGAAATACAAAGAGTTGTCATTCAATTCACAAGGATTTTCTTCTAACGAAAAACCGAGTTCTAACACATAACCTTCATAAAACACCACATTAACAATTCAACATTCTCTTCTTACAGCGCCACTGAGAAAAACAACTTAATACATAACCTCCATACATAAATTACCATCTTCAGACCTCCATATTAGAGATTATGTCATAGCAGCTCATAATCACCAAGGTGCAACACTTATTTTATTTACCCCAAAGGCCAAACTAAAGTCTATTCGACAGGGACAATTTTGCGGGAAGGTCCACCTGAAGATGATCCATGAGCTTCGTCATCCCAGGTGTTTTCATGGTCTTCGAGAGAGAGACGGGGCCATCCACCCCGACCGAAATAATCATCCCATGTACCGTTGTTAAACCCTGTAAAATTACAGGATAATCAAGAATTCATTATGAATGAACTTTCACTATAATTACAAAAAAATAATAATAATTATAAAGAATAAGATAGAAAAAACAAATAACCCCAACGGTATTAGTTCTATTTTACAAATTGAACTATCAACTGGGGGCGTTTTTTATGCAAACATAAATTTCAGGAGGGCCACGACTAATATGGGGGATTAATTAGGCGTACCATGGGAATTAGTTTTTATTTCTTAAAAAAAAAAGGGAAATTCAAGTACAGGGACGCACACTTAAGCCGCAATCGACCGGACGAAAACCGTTCCAATTTTCTGTTGTTTTTACGGATTTATATAAATCGTGGCACAAGAGTAAATTCTTTTTACATTTTATTGTAAAAGTGAAAGAAACCATTCTGCAATACATATATGGGTTTCGATATTACACAAAAGTTCCCATCAACCAATGCTTATGAGAAGCCCCAATCACTCTGAGGCAGCATAATCAAGCAGCAGAATCAACATTACTAAACAGGGCCCATTTCTTTCTCTCTTGTCTTATTGTTCCATTTAAGATAGTTTTAGTCTTGACTATAAACAAAGCAAATTTGGCTGTTTACAAGGTCGAGTAGGTCCAATGCATGGTCGAACTGGTTAAAAAGGAAAAGATAATGAAAAAGAAAGATTACCTGAGTTCTCGAGTAAATTAAAGCCGTCATTCCATCCAGGCAAAACTTTGTCAGCACTCATTTTCCAATTTTCTTGAAAATCGGTTAGCTCATCTGTGAAGGTGTCGAGCCAAACAAATAACGAGCAGATTCAGAAACAGAATAAGAATTCTTTATGTTAGGGAAGGGGATGAATGGTGAGAAACTCACCTTCCTGTAGATTGTGTAAGGTTTGCAGGGAATCAACTTTCCCATCAGAGAATTGCTTGGTTGTTACAGAATGTCCCTTCATGGCAGAAAACATATTGAAACAAAAGAGAATTATTTATTGATCACACCTATACTGATTTAATCGAATTTGATTGTAGTAATAATTACAACAATTACCCTTGCCGTGTGATCAAATCACAAGAAACACAAATGTAATTCACTTTACAAAAGACCCAACCTAAGCTTGCATTTTTTCTTAACAAGTATAAAACTTGCTCCAGTTGAGGGCGGAATANCAAATTTAACAAGGAGATAACACTCATAGTCTCATACAGTCTCAAGAAATAATTATAATCAATAAGAATGTGAAAATGAAAAATTGAACAAAGAAATGTCCACTTTGCCGAATTCCTTTTGCATTATCTCCACAATTGCACTTCATCATTAAAACATAAGAAATAGAAACTAAAAAAAAAAAAATCCATCATTTCTATGTTGCATTACCTTGTCATGTATACCTTTCGAAATTGTATGCAGTGATTCACCAACCGTTCGATCTTCTTCTTTCATCTCCATCAAGACCACCTTCACCATATACCCGAGCCCAAAAACAAATAAAAAGGAATACAACTAATTTTATGCTACGGAAAAAAAAAAAAGGTAAGTATGAATATCTTAACAGTGAACAAAGAGCTATTTTATGATAATATCGTCTTAAAAAGTTAGCTCACCCCATCTCCTCCAGTTCTTCTCCCAACAGATGAAGTGTAGTACCACCCCTCAGGACCACCATATGCTACTCTCTGAAAGCTGAAACTCTGATTTCCTGAAAGTGAAAATACAAAGCGTGTAAAATATGAGGAACAGAAGCTATGCTCTCTCTCTCTCTCTCTCTCTCTCTCTCTCTCTCTGTGTGTCCAAGAAAAATGATTGGAACCTTCAGGCTCGAATTTATTGGACAAATAGCATTTATTTTGACTTCTAGGACTAAACGTCAGAGGATATTTTTGTAACTATTCCAAAACTAGAGTGTCACAACAAAATCACCTCTTTCAAAATTAAACAGGCAGACGAGATCAAGTAGCAAACATCACTCCATAAAATTAAATGGAAAAAAAAAACAAGAAAATCTGAGCTCAATATTGAACTACAAAATCAATTCAGCAGGCAAATGGTGCAAAAGATAAATTGAAGGCAGCACACACACATACCAGTTGGATATTCATTCATAATCTTAGGAGAAACTTCCTTGCTTGGCATATCCTTCGGCACAGAACTATCATAGCCCCCTTCATTTTCGGGGTTCAGCTCCTCGATTTTGATTTGTTTTCGGGAAGCAGAATGATCACCAAATGGGCCACTGGAAAATGGACTGTCGAAAGCACTGGTAAAGAACGGGTCATCAAATGGGCTTTTCCCGCCAAATATTCTGCCAAAAGGCTGGGAGAAAAACGGGTGATCAAAGGGATCCTTCCCTCCAAAGAAGTTGTCCATTTTATGCAATTGCTAAATGGGCTGTTACTTGGCAACAACAACATGAGGCAAAAAGAACAAATCAAAATGAACAATTAAAAAGAAGCGATCTTTAATCTCTAGTAATATAAAGTTTCCAACAAACAAAATGGTATACAACAAATGAGCAAGGCAAGCTGGAAAAAGCACATGAAGCTTCTGATTTACATCATAGGAACAAAAGAGTCCATTCGAACAACATTGCGAACTAGGGGTGCACAAAATATGGTTAACCGAGCCAAACCAACCGAAACCGGTTTAATTTTCAGTTCGGTTTCAGTTTATGATTTTTTTAAATTTTGTTTTTTGGTTTGATTTAGATATTAGTGATCGGTTAACCGAACCGAAAACGATCTTATACATACATTTACAAAACCAAAGCTCACTAGAATGATATCTTATCTGCACCAAAGCTATGATACAAAAGACTTAGAAGAAAATACAAAATCCCACTGGCTAGCATAAGCCCATGTTTTTTCCTACACACATAATCAAACTAAAATTAAAAAAAAATAAAAAAAAAATACAATAGTGTAGCTTAATCGCTTATACCAATTCGGCAATTTTCAAAATATGTTCGTCTCCCACAACACTCCCTATTTTTAGTCATGTGTGTGTATGTATATATATATATATATGAGACTTGATAGACTAGGGTACCTAGTGTGATGTGTATGAGACTTAGTAGACTTGTATTTTTTGACAAGTTGTTTTAGATGCGTTTTAGTTTAGTTTGGTGAAATTATTATTTATCTAGCTATTTTTATTTTTGTAATTCACGACTTGTAGATTTTTTCACTTTTTTTTTTTTNGATTGATTTTCGATTTGAAACCGAACCAAAACACAAATTTCAGTTTTGTTTTCAAGTTAGACAAACCAAAATTTCGGTCAATTCAGTTCAGTTTCGCCCGATTGAACACCCCAATTGCGAACAATGTAACATAAATTAAAGCAATAAACAACAGAGGAAAGACAAGGGGAATCATACAAACTCATGAAAATGAATACATCATATGCTGATTCCTTTAAAGACCAGAGTTTTTCGAAGTGCGGAAAGTCACTATATTAATCCCAGTCGCAAGAAAGGTAAATATTGGACATTCTATGATAAAATTTAAGAAAAAAAAACACTGAATAAAACAATTTGGCCAATGAGATAGAGCACCCAATTTAAAGAAAAAGTGGAAGAGAATGAAAAACTAAATTACCTGAGAGTCGAGAGGCAGACAGAGAAGATTGAAGAGAGTGGGCAGCGTGTGTTCTGTGCAGTTTGCAGTAGAAAAACTAGTAAAAATCAACTAAACGAACCTTCTCGAGGAAAATCAAAAAGATGCATAGATAGATTATTTACTAGTTACCCGTGCGATGTACTGGCTAGTAATATGTAATATTAACGGAAGCATTTTGATTTGCATGATTGTATCATTATTTAAAATATTAGTGTATATTCCGTGCGATGCACGGAAGAGTTCATATTTTAAACATTTTTTAGACTTTATTTTAAATATAATTATTTATATTTTTCACATCTCGTCTATTATAAAAATAAAATAAATACAATTAATGAAAAATATATAATATTAAATACTTTTCTTTATACAATATTTTTTATTTAAGGAATATTATTAAACCTTACGGTTTTGATTTGTTTTTTTAAATCAATAATCCAAAATATATGATTGTTAACGTACAAAAAATAATGGAAATAATCCAGACTGTAAAATAAAGCTATTTTTTATTATTTTACAAATAAAAATCTTCCAATTTTTTTTAATTTCAAAACAAAATTGGCAAGTTTGATAATGAGTTAACTCAAGTTATACAAATGATTAAATAGTTAAAATGTTATATTAATTATATCTTAAGAAATCCGATTATATAAAAATGGGTAAAAAAATATTATACTAATTAGTTTGTTAGGATTGTGATTATATGGAAGTTAAAATAAAATGAAATGTAACCAAAAAATTTGTTCGTGGTTTTTTCCTAAATGTTTGAATTTAAAAATCTAGTAACCAAATTTACATTATATCACGTAAGGAAAAAAAAAATAATAAATATTTATTAAAGAGATAAATCAATAATATTTATCACTTAGATAATAAATAATAAATATTTACATGTAAAAAAATAAATAATAATATATTTTAAAATATAAGTCAGAATTTCAAATAAAGTAAAAGGAAGGATAACTCATTTTTTAAAAAAAGTTTCTAAATATTTAATATATTGATAAGTATCTCCATAAGAATAACCATACCATTTTAATTTTCAAAAAAGATAAATCTGGTTAGACAAATGATTAATTTGTTAAGATATTATATTAATTGTATCATAAAAAATCGGTTAGATAATGTAGATAAAAAAATATAATACTAATTAGTTTGTTAGAAATGTGATAATGAAAACCAAGATAAAATGAAATTTACCCAAAAAAAATGTTTGGAATCTTTTCTTTTAAATGTTTGAATTTACAAATTTAATACCGAAATTCTATTATCTCACATAAGGAAAAAATAAATAATAAACGTTTATTAATATATTAAAATATGTAATTTTGAATTTCATATAAAGTAAAAGGTATGCTTATTCAAATTTATTTTTAAAATAAAAGTTATGATAAACATTTATTGATTCTCTTTCAAATATATTAATAAAATAAAAATATAAATCTAAACAAATTTTGAAACAACCAAAAAAATCGGATTGATTGACATAAAAAAAAAAAAGAAGTGAAATCGGATTTGAATGCTAAAATCAGAACACCTTACCAAATTGAATGCTAAAAGATTCGATTTGATTGGTTACCTAATTGCATGGGCTGAAAAAATTCAAAAAAAAAATGTTACGAATTGAAGAAGCGGGAAAAACACTATATTGAAGCGGGAAAACGAAATGATTATTTTCGGATTGTTCAAATAATTTTTCTTCTCCGTATTATATAGTAATAGATAAGATGAATTTATTGGAATAAAAAAAGATTGTTATTTATATTTTATTAAACACCTCCTTGTGCACAAGATTCTTTGTTTGACTTTAGATACATTGTTATGTCCACAAATTAAAATCTTTAAACTCTTATGGCATGATTGGTATGATGGAATAAAATGTCGTAGGAATGGAATGATTATGGGAATGAAATGAAAAATGTTTTGTCATTGATGCGTTTGGTATGCAGAAGGAATAGGACTGGAATGAAATGACATTATCATTTTTTATTATAAAAATAAATAAAATATTTTTTAAAAAATTAATATACTTTTAATAAATTATATATAAATGATTTCTCAATAATATATAAAAATAAAATAATAAATTTTTAATAATATATAAAAATAAAATAATATATTTTTTAATAATATAAAAAATAATATACTTTTAA